ACAAATAAACATCTTTCTGGTATTCTTTGCTTTCAGCCAAGATCTATCTGACATCAGCAATGATATCACTTGTTCCACGTCCTCTTCTCAATCCAGCTTTCATTTCTGGAAGTTCCCTGTCAATATACTGCTGTAACCACTTTTGAATTATCTTCAGCCACCATTTACTTGCATGTGATATTAATGATATTGTTCCACAAGTTCCACATTCTGTTGGATCACTTTTCTTCGAAATGGGTACAAATATGGATCTCTTCCAGTCAGTTGGCCAGGTAGCTGTCTTTCAAATTTCTTGGCATGGACAAGTAAGTGACTCCAATGCAGCATATCCATTTGTTGAAACATTTCAATGAGTATTCCATCAATTCCTGGAGCCTTGTTTTTCTCCAATTCCTTCAGGGCAGTTTCAACTTCTTCCTTCAATACCATTGGTTCTTAACTATATGCCACCTTCTGAAATAGATGAACAGTGACCAATTCTTTTTGGTACAGTTACTCTGTGTATTCCTTCCACCTTCTTTTGATGCTTCCTGCATTCAATATTTTGCCCATAAAAAAACCACCCAAAAAATGAAACTCACTGCTGTCAAGTCAATTCAACTCATAGTGACTCTTCCTTGGGTTTCCGAGGTGGTATCTCTACAGAAGTAGATTCCCCAGTCTTCCTTCCAAGGAGTGGCTGGTGGGTTTAAACTGCCAGCCTTCTGGTTAGCAATGAAATGCCTTAGGCACTATGCCACCAGAGCTCCCATACAATCTTTCAATATTGAAACTCTAAGCTTGAATTTTTTCTTCAGTTCTTTCAGCTTGAAAAATGCCAACCATGTTCTTCCCTTTTGGTTTTCTAACTCCAGGTCTTCACACATTTCATTATAACAATTGACTTTGTCGTCTCAAGCTGCTCTTTGAAATCTTCTGTTCAGCTCTTTTATCTTGTCATTTCTTCCATTTGCTTTAGCTACTCTCCATTCAAGAGCAAGTTTCAGAGTCTCTTCAGACAAACCTTTTGGTCTTTTTTTTCCTCTCCCGTCTTTTAAACAAACTTTTGCTTTCTTCACGGATGATGTTCTTGATGTCATCCTACAATTCATCTGGTTTTCAGTCACTCATGTTCAATGTGTCAAATCTATTCTTCAGATGGTCTCTAAATTCAGGTGGGGTATAATCAAAGTCATATTTTGGCTCTTGTGGGTTTAATTGTCTTCAGCTTCAACTTGAACTTGCATATGAGCAATTGATGGTCTGTTCCAGTCAGCTCCTGGCCTTGTTTTGGCTGAAGAGAGATTCTCCATCACCTCTTTTCATGGATGTAGTTGATGTGATCCTTGTGTATTCCATCTGGTGAAATCCAGGTGTATAGCTGTCATTTATGTTGTTGAAAAAAGGTATTTGCAATTAATAAGTCATTGGTCTTGCAAAATTCTATCATGCGATCTCTGGCATCATTTCTATCATCAAGATCATATTTTCCAACTACCAATGATTCTTCTTTGTTTCCAACTTGTGCATTCCAGTCACCAGGAATTAACAGTATATCTGGATTGCACATTTGGTTGACTTCAGACTGCAGAAATTGGTAAAAAAAATCTTCAATTTCCTCGTCTTTGGCTTTGGTTGTTGGTGAGTAAATGTGAATAATAGTAGTATTAATTGGTCTTCCTCGGAGGCGTATGGACATTATCCTATCACTGACAGCACTGTACTTTAGGATAGATCTTGAAACATTCTTTGTGACAATGAATGACACACCATTCCTCTTCAATTTGTCATTCTCGGCATAGATCATATGGTTGTCTGATTCAAAATGGCCAAAACCATTACATTTCAGCTCACTAATGCCTAGAATATTGATCTTTATGTGTTCCATTTCATTTCTGACAACTTCCAATTTCCTAGATTCATACTTTGTACATTCCACGTTCTGATTATTAATGGATGTTTGCAGCTGTTTCTTCCCATTTTGAGTCATGCAACATCAGCAAATGGAGGTCGCAAAAGGTCTACTCCTTCCACATCATTAAGGTTGACTCTACTTTGAGGAGGCAGCTTTTCTTCAGTTCTATTTTGAGTGCCTTCTGACCTGAGGGGCTCATCTTCTGGCACTATATCAGACAACGTTTCAGGGCTTTTCATAAAGTTGTCTAGTTTACATGAGACAGTGTTTCACTGTTATTCATAAAGTTTTCACTGGCCAGTACTTTGAGAAGTGGATGGCCTCTTCCTTCTTCTGGAAGCTCCACTGAAACCTGTCCACTATGGGTGACCCTGCTGGTATTTGAAATACCAGTGGCATAGCCTCCAGCCTCACAGCAACACGCAAGCCTTCACTGTATGACAAATTGACAGACAAGTGGTAAAATTATATCCTCAATAACAGTTAAAATGGCAAACTTTTCCTTCCATGCTGTAGTACATGCCAGAATTTCATTTCTCTTTATGTCTGAATAATATTTGGCTGTGTTATATATATATATTGCCACAATAAAATTTAAAAACAAAACAAAAAGTGGTTTCCTGATGCCAAAAGCCTGCAGGCTCATCCAGGCTCCCAGTCAAGCAGCCCACATGCAACACACTGTGGGTTAGACAACACAGTTGACATCCTGGCTAGTTGTTTACTGGCTGTGTGGACTCAGCTGCTTTGAGCCTAAGCCTCAATGTCATCGTGTGTACAATGATGATATAGTACTTACCTGTTAGAATAGCTATGAGGATTCTGACATGCCTAGCACACAAGTATTAAAAAAACATCACACTAGTGATGATGAAGATGCTAACAATGACCTCATTAAGATTAAAAAAAAGAAAATAATCATTTGAACTTATATCTATAACTCTTCCTGTAGACAGCTGCAAATGCTCACTAACAGCAAACTTGCAACAGATATCTCAACGCCCTAGGGTGACTTGGGCTTGCAAGATTTACAATATTTTTGCTTTGTCCGTGAGGATTTTTTAAACAGATGCTTTCTTTATAATTGCATTTGGATCTGGTTTGCTCAAACATGCCTTCAGAAGGAACTGTGAAAACCAAGAAGTTTAAGACACCAGAGGGCAAGGTGAATACCCTAAGAGTGTATGATCCCCAGAAGCAGATGCTAGTTTATAGGTATCCTATGACCTCTGAGAAAAATAGGTGTTATCCTATTGCAATCCCACTGACCGATGCATTTAGCTTATCAAGGAACTGATTTGGGAAGAAGGAACTAAATCTAATTTAAAAGACCTCAATTGTGCTTATTATTTATCTAGACAGCCCATAGATGCCATGACTGCATAATTCAACTACATGCTCTATTGAGGTCTCAGGAAATGACTGGGGTTTTCAAGGCAGTTTAAACAAAACATAACAATTCCCCATACAGAATGTCCACTCCCAACTGTCTTTTCCTAGGTGTCTTAAACTCCTTCTCAGGTAAAGCCACTCAGCACACAGTTCGAAGAAGGCAAGGGAATACTCTGTTAAGTCACTTACAAATGAGGTAGATGAAGCTTACAGAGAGCTAATAACTTGTCAGAAGATCCCACCACTTTTCAGAGTTGAAATGAATGATGGCAACAGAGTCCACATCTCCCACCCTCTGGTCTAGGTTTAGCCCACTGAACACTAACCATGAGATCACCCAAATTCACAGAAGACCAGAATTCTGGGAACTAACACCTGAGGCAGCCATAGTTGAGGATGGGAGTTAAATACTCCAAACTGAGAAAATGTGACTGAGAGAGGTTAGAACTCGGGCAATGGAGCGAGGTAGACAGGGAAAGGAAAGGAAGTTCTGAACCAACTGACCCACACACATATTGTGTGTCCTTGCGGAGTTGTCCTTGCTGCCCACTGTGATGGTTAATTATATGGGTTAACTTGGCTGGGCTATAATGCCCAGCTGTATGGTCGAACACTAGTCTAGGTATCACTGTGAAGGTGTTTGTAGATGCAATTAACATTTACAATCAGATGATCTTTAAGTGAAAGAGTTTAGCCTTGACAATGTGAGTGGGCCTCATCCAATCAGTTGAAGACCTTAAGAGCAAAAACTGATTTCAAGAAGGAACTGTAACAGAAATTCTGCCTGAGTTTCCAGCTTGCTGGCCTGCCCTACAGATTTCAGACTTGCCAGCCCTGCAATCATGAGTCAATTTCTCAAAATATTTTTTTTTTCTCTCCTTCTCTCTCAACACACGCACACAAATCTAAAACAACCAAACGCACTGCCATCAAGTCAGATCCACCTCATAGAGACCCCTCCTTGGGTTTTTGAGGCAGTATCGCTATGGAAGTAGATTGCCCCATCTTCCTTCTGAGGAGTGGCTGGCAGGTTTGAACTGCCAGCCTTCTGGTTAGCAGTCAAATGCCTTACGCACTATGCCCCAGAGCTCCTACACACACACACACACACACACACACACACACACACACACACCCTGTTGGTTCTGTTCCTCCAGAGAACCCTGGATGATACAGCTACTAACATATAACACTTCCCAGAGATGCAGGCAATATCACTTGGACATTGAAGGTCTGATGCCTACCCCTTTCTTTGACATATGTTCTGTACCCCTTGCCCTCCTGGCTTAGTATTAGAATTCCTTTCCCTCCCTTTTCTACTTATGCTACCACTCTACATTCATACAGATTCCCATTGTTCTATTAGCAACTTTATAATGGATCCCAAATCAGCCTTGAGTTTTATACACTTGAAATCATGTAAGTTAGGTATCAGTTCCATGATAAATCAAAGTAGCACTCCATCAATATTGATATCTATAATAAGTTTGTTTTTATAAAAAAAAAATTCATATCTTACATTGGCATGTTCCTGCCCATTATTCAAAAACATAATTATTTTTTGGCCTCAGGTTTACAGATGACTTGCTAGATGCAGTTCAGTCCCAGGCTGCATGTTACTTCACTTTACTGCTTTTACGACACCAGCCCTTTCCTACTCACTTCTGAGAACTTGGGAACCTCAGAGGCATGGGTCATAAGACACCACACCCACCTTTGTCCAAACATAAGCGTGGACTTGGTCTCAGCCTCATTGAAGACAGAAGGAGAACAGCAAATGACAATGGTGGTTCGACAGTTTCCACCCAGCGAGTCCTGAAGAATCCGAGTCATCTTACTGTCCCGGTACGGTACGTGTGTTTTCTGTTCAGGAAAAGAAAGCAAAGTCTTGATTTTGACAGCCCATCCAAAACAGAAACACAGAGGCAAGCAAGTCAGTGACAGAGACACAGGTAAAATAGGAATCTGTGGCCAAATCTTTAGACCCTGCCCAAGTTCAGAATGTCTATCCCATGACCCCGGTCACTGGAAATTAATGTCATCATTCACACATTTCAGGGGACCGGATCTCCCAGCAAGCAGACGTCCACAGCCAGGATTCCCTCTGTCCCTTTCCAAATGGGAAAAATATTGATTTGGCAAACATTGTTATATCTATATTTCTACAACAACAACAAAAATATCTGGAATGTGTGACATAAACTGTGACCCAAAAGAAAACTTCACACAATATTGTTTAATAGGTGGGAACAGAATCACTTACTGTCCCTTCTGCCAAGGCAGAGATCACATTTCCAAGAGCAGACAAAGACTTATTGATATTTTTAGCTTCATCGAGAACAGCTCCCTCAGCACCAGTTTTGCTGACCTACCAGAGAGAAGAGAAAGCAGTAGGTACATGGGACAACAGAAGCACATTTTATACAATACAAGGTAATAGGAAGGCAAAGGGAGAGTCTTCCTGGGATGCAAGTAAAAAGAAGAGTAATTAAGAGCCATGTTGACAAAATCATCTCTTGTGCATGAGGCTGGGGACCGGTTCTCTCATCATTTTCCTCTCAATTAGGTTTTTGGGGAATGGCTGAAATGCCTCATGTGGTGGAACTGCAGATGCTTCCCCCGGAGACATCCATCGAGGAAAACCAGGCTCGAAAAGTGACGTCAGCATGGATCGGCAGGGGTCCTGAGAGACTTGACTACAGTCTCCACACTGGAAGGTACCCAGAGGGAAGTGTTAAGAGAAAACACTGTCCTGAGTCACAAAGGATGGATATATTGGGAAAGTGTAAATTACAAGTTCCAAATTCAGGCAAAGGACAACAGGTGGGAGGGAATATTGTCCTGATTCTCTGTTCCTTCCCTACTTACTATTCCCTGTTATGGATTGAATTATCGTTGTTGTTGTTG